GGAACGATCAATGCTTTTTTAAAAAGTGCAAACAAGCAATCGATAATTTGAATTTATTTAAAAATAATTAATTTCATTAGAATAACTTTGCAAATGGTGGAAAAGCCTACTATAAAAATAATTGAAAAGATTGAATAAAAAAAAAAAGTAATGTTGAGATTGCCAGATGTAGGGTTTTTAAAGGGATCCCTAAGTGCTATAAAGATATGATCTCATATGAAAGAGCATTAAAAAAAAAAATGTTTGATGTATATTATTTTTTCTAAAACGTAATAATGAACACACACTAACAAATTTAATTTTCAAAAAAACGCTTTTCTTCGATTAAAAAAAATGCGTCTTGTCCAAAGTTTATTGACTCAACTGCCTCAAAAAACTAACGTTAGTACGTCAAATTAAACAAAGTAGACAAAATGTCATTATTGGAAACTTATTAGTTGGTAATTAAATTTAAAAGTAAAGTCGTTTTTTTCAACTAACACATAATTACTTACAAGAATAAATTTTGTAGCATTTTGTGAAAATATATATTTATATATTAAAATTTTTTTTATAATATCAATTTATATATTTGTGTTATAAGGGCAATTCCACGGCTAAAAATGAATAGAAGTCAAATTTTAAACTCTTTTTAGTCAGTTAAAAACAAATGAATATTGACTTAGACATATGAAAGTTTATTTAAAATATTGCCTTAGTAAAAAAATAAATTTATTTCAATAATTTTTTTTGTTTTCAAAAGTGACGGTTACTCTCATTTTTGCTTGATAAAAAAAATAATGATTGTAAAATGTTTTAGTTAAATTAACATTTATGTTAAATTGCTATATTTTTTTGGTTCAAATTGATAAGGTTGAATAGACATTTTATTAGAAATTAAACTAAGACAGGGCTCGAATTAACGCAAAAAAATCTAAAAAAATTTTTTTTTTCGCTCTCATCCCCCCCCCCCTCTCTCTCTTATAGCTCGCGCCGATGTGCGGTAATGGGGGAAAAAAATTATCGTCAATAAATCAAAAAACATCGTCAAAAACTTAATAAAAAATTAGATACCACGTTTTTTATAATTTATTGTTTCTTGAATAAAGGACTAATAAAAGTTTAAATATAATTAAGTTTTTCATTTAAATGGTTGATGTTTTTATTCAATTTTTCTATTTTAAGTTTTCCAATATAAAAAAGATAAAACAAAAAAATTTGATTTAATAAATCGAATTATACTTCATGTTTAAAATAAGGCTTAAAAACGTTAAAGTAAAAAAAATGCTGGTTTTTATTAGCATTTTTATACTGTTTGAAAAAAAAAACTAATAAAAAAAGAATTAACTAATAATATATTAATAAATAATTATATATTATTTCTTTTTTATTAGTTTTTTTTTTCAAACAGTATAAAAATGCAAATAAAAGTCAGTAATTTTTTTGCTCTAACGTTTTTAAGCCTCATTTTAAACATGAAGTTTTGATAAACAAAGATAAAAACCAACTTTTCAACTTTTCGCTTTAACGACCTTGTCACAATTTTCCACGCAGAGATTTAAAGTAATTCAAAAATGTTTTATGTTAAAAGAAAATCTCCGCGCGAAAGAGCAAATCATCTATTCATCTATCTATACATAATAATAAATTTTTTGTGACGTTCTTTATGATAAAAACATTACTTTTAAGAATTGCTAAAAAAAATGCTAAGCTAGAAAAAAAGTAATTAATCAACCAAAAAAAAACGAGTCGCGAAAAGATTTTTTTTAAGAGAAAACTAATCACAAAAGCGTGTGTTGCAATCGCGATCGCGATACGCTTAATACGAGCCCTGTAAGACTTTTTTATAAGTTCTAAACTATTTAAATCTATTACTTAATAACTTTTTTTTAACGACGTCTTTCAACCAAATGCTGTTATACTGTTTTTGCAAAACTAATTAAAAAAACTTGATCAAAACTTAACTATTTAATCACGACTTTTTTTACTTGAAAATCGAAGTAGATATTCTTAAGTTGTTGTGACGTACTAACGTGATTTTTAACGACTAACAATCGAGTTTCAATGGTGAAAAAATAAAATCAAAATGGAGTTGTTTTTTAGTGATTTCGGCAATTGCTTTTTGTTAGCATGTATTTATTATTACAGTTTAGTGAAAAAGAAAAAAAACTTACATATTTTTTTTTTATGCTCTTTCATATGTGATCATATGTTAGGAGCACTTAGGGATCCCTTTAAGGGGGAAGGCACAGTAAAAAAAATTTATTTTCGCAGGTTTTGCGCTGTGTTCTCCTTTGTAAAAGCTGGGCGTCTGGCAACCTTATGTTGAGATAATGTTCTTAACTACACACAATTACAAATAATAATAAAATAAGAACTTCAATCTCTGAAGTTAAAGATATATTTCTTGCTCATAAAAATCATTTTAAAAATAGTTAATGTTATTTTGTTAAGAATAATGTTTTTAACTCTTGTTTGCAGATTTTAACTGATTTCATACTAAGAAGAATGTTTACAAAACAATTCTGTAAAAATACTGTTAACAAGATTTTTACTAAATTACTTAAAACAAGTTTTTTCTAAATATACATTTAGTTTTAATAATCCTATTATAAAAAATAAAAGTGCAAACGCAAACAATTAGTAATTTTAAATTTATTCATAAACCATTCTTTTATTTATTTGCAATTGCAGCAAAACTTACAAAATAAATAAAAAGATTTGAAGAAAAATAAAACAAATTGACTACATGCAGTTGAAAGAAAAAATGTTCTTAGTTAAATACTGAAATTATTGTATATTATAATAATATCATTAAAATAATATATTAAATATTTTTATTAAAATAATAATAAAATAAAAACTTCAATTATTTATGAAAAGATTTTCACCATTGGTAAAATGAAAGAAATTTAAATAAGTGAAGCGAAAAACTTAATAGATGTAGTTTACACCACGAATAATATATTTGTCAACAAAGCAAATTAATCGGTTCAGGCATTTGCAAAAAATTACTGGTTTCTATTAACTTAAAATAATTTTTAGATAAAAAGTTTAATAATAATAAATTTAGTATATATTCACATATATTTTAAGTAGCGGAATTAATAATATAAAATTTTAAATAAATTATTATTTTTTATTTATTAAAATATTGCCAAAAAATTAAATTAATGCAACGTTTTAAAAACAAAAATAAAAACCAGGAAATAAAAAATAATACTAAATTCAAAAAAAATTTAAATAACAACTATTGACAAAAAAAGGATTTAAAAAAAAATTGATTTAAACTTTTTGCTTTAACGAACCACTAACAATTAAAGTCATAAACAATAATATCATAACTATTTATACGCTTTTTCAAAAATTAAATGATTTTATGAAATTTTAGAATATATATTTTTCCAAATAACATCCTGACTATTAGTAAAACCTTGTTTTGGCAAGAATTTATTTTGGGAGGTCAAAATAGTCATTAAGAGTTTTAGTCATTTCAGGCAGTCATTGACCATTGACCATCCATTATTTTCACGTTGTTCCATCTTTAATTTATGGGAAAGTTATTATTACCTCAACTTTTCTTCTATTGAATCTTGAATCTTATGGCTATACTTTTCCTACCATTCTAGTTAAACAGGTTAGACCATTGTTAGACATTCAAATCACTCCAGCTTCCATTGCCAAAGTCATAACTCAATTAACCTCTTTTACGGCTTATTGTCCAGACAACATTCCTGTCATATTCTTACAAAAGATTATCAAACTATTTCTTTCTAACCCCTTTATTAAAGTCATGCTTGAAGGCCAACACTTTACTTCAATTCCAGTAACCTCTGGAATAACTTCTATCCTTGGTCCTGTTTTGTTTCTTATCAACATTAATGATCTTCCTGACAACTATACATCTAAACTGGCTCTATTTACCGATCACTCAACTTTATACTCCTGTCTTGACAAACAGTCTTTTCTTTCCAATTGCTTAGAACAGACAGCTGATCCTGAATCTGATCTCACTTCTGTAACAGATTAGAGCTTGCAGTGGCTTCTAAATTTTATCTTTATTGATGAATGGCAACCCTCTCATTGAGTCTTCTTCTTTACCTTTCCAACTGCTAAAGTCTCTTCTCTTTATCATGCTTATCATTATCTTACTCCTGATTCCATCCTCTACCTCTAAAAATCTCTTATTCATCCCTGTATGAAACACTGTTATCATATTTGGGCTGGTTTTTTTAATGATGTTCTTTCGATTTTAGACAAAATCCAAAAACGCACTGTTAATGTAGTTGGATCTGCTAGGCTTGAGCTTCTCTCCAATAATTGTAAAGTTGCATCTCTTTTGTTTTTCATTCTCATTTCATTTTTACAAATACTATTATGGTTGCTGCTCATAGGAGCTAGCATCTTTAGTTCCATCGACTAAAACTAATTCTTGTTTGACTTTTTTGGCAAAAGCCACATCTTTTTATTCTCCCTGTCCCTGCATGCTCTAAAAACATTTATTTGTTTTGCTTTTTTACTTGCAACTAACCCAATTAAACTTTCTCTCATCTTTATGTTTTCCTGACTTATACAACCTACAACTTTTTTAACCTTCTGTCAACTGTTTCCTTGCTCTTTTACTATATTCTTTGTTTTCTAGTAACTCTTAACAGTGGTTGCTTAAAGCCTTGTTGTAAGTGAATAAGGTATATAAGGAAAAAAAACAACAGTTGTTATGACAACATAGTAGTGATATTATATGATATAGAAATATATCTTACAATATCAAGGTAACTATTTAGAATTTTTACTTTTTTCAACTGAATATCAACAACAACAACAACAACAACAACAACAACAACAACAACAACAACAACAAAAAAGACTATTTAAAAAAAAAAAGTGTAAACTAATAAATAGTATGATTAAGGTTTAAAAAACTTCATCAATTAATAAAAAAATCAACAATTTCAAAAAACTAGACTACAAAACAAAAATCAATAACTATTTAAAAAACTTTAAACAGACAATTTGTATACCTTTTCATGTTTTTGAAGTCTTGGATGCACAAACTTTCTATATAATATGCTTGACCCCTATTATTGACACATAAAACAATGTAAATGTGCTTATGTGCTCATAAAGACTAGGTTTTAGTTCAAACAAATTAGTAACAATAATAATAGTCAAAGATCTACTTTAGTTGCAGGAGACAGCAGCCAAATAATAAATACAATTTTGACTTCATAATATAAAGGCAACCTAAACAGTAAAATGAAAATTATTTTTGTAATTTATAATATAAAGGCAGCCTATACAATATAAAAATAAATATATACAATTGAAAGTATATTAAAAAATTACCATGATATAAAAACATCTGCAAATGTTTCAGCAGTTATAAAAAAAGCAAAAATTATCCAGTACATCATCCATTTAACCTTAAGAAAAAACAAAATATGCAATAAAAAAAGTAAAATTTATATTATTCTCAAATTTACAACACTTACATATTCTCTGACATCTTTATTTTTAACTGCTTTATATGAACGATACGCTGGGTATAAAGTTCCAAAAACCATCCTAAGAATAATTTTAAAATAAATCTCTTAAAAATGACAAAAAATAAAAACTGACCCCCAAAAATTTATCACAGTTATTTTTTTTTCTATTTATTATTAAAGTTTGAGAAGCAAAGTTGCTCGTCAAAACAAAAAAATTGCTCGTCAAAACAAAAAAATTGCTCCTTTGGTAATAGAAAATTGCTCCTCAAACTTTAATAATAATTAATTGAAAAATATTTGAAATAAAGAAAGTTAAAAATATAAAATTAACAACAAAATTATAATTTAAATATAATTCATTTTAATTTAGTCACAAACAATTTTTTTAAATTCTAAATAAAATAATAAAAAAAATAAATGACAATTTTCATTTTAATTTTAAATAAAGTAAAAACAAAAAAACAAATGTTTTATCTATTTTCTAAATAAAATAATTAAAGTAAAAAAGGCAAAAACAAAATTCATTTATATTTTATTTTTAACGAACATCTTTTAATATAATATTTTTTAAAAAAGGCAAAGTTTTATTTTAATTCTAATTAAAATAGTTTATTTACATTCTAAATAAAATAATTAAAATAAATACAGCAAAACTAATGTTAATTTAAATTCTAAACAAAATAATTCAAATAATAAAATTCTTTATTTATACTCAAGATAAAACATTTTAAAAGAAATACTTCAAAAAGGTTTATTTAAATTTTAAAAAAACAAATTAAAAAAAAAAAAAAAAACGGGCAAAACAAACAATTAATTAACTTATTTTAATTTGAAAATTTATTTAAAACAAATTAAGTTAAAACGGCAACAGCAATTTTATTATGTAAGGTAAAAAAAAAAAAAATGCATTTTAAAATTTAGTATAGTTAAATAAAAAATTGATAGTCTAAAAAATGATTTGATAGTATGGTTTTTAACTTTTTTATTTCAGCCAATCAATGTTGATCAGCAACCATTAAATAATAATTTCAAGCGCTGATATATAATACATAATATATATATATATATATATATATATATATATATATATATATATATATATATATATATATATAAATATATATATATGTATATGTATATATATATATATATATATATATATATATATATATATACATACATATATATATATATATATATATATATATATATATATATATATATATATATATATATATATATATATAAGATAATGACTATTTTTTTATGTGATTTTTGATCTATTAAGATAATGACTATTTTTTTATGTGATTTGGTTCAACACCACTTCACTCTATCCTCTTTCTTTTTGTTCTATATCACTCTCCTTCATCTCAAGACTGTACTCTTTTTGATGTTATTTCTGATCAAATTAACCAGTATATTTCTTACTGATGACTTTAATGCTTATCACACTGACTAACTCTGCAGACATTAAAGCCCACAATTTTTGCCTTTCTCAATCTCTAACACAAATTTTCAACTTTCAAACTCACTTTCTAGACAATCCTAATCACTTACCTTCTCTACTCGACTTGTCTTGTTTCTGATTTTAGTCAGTGCTCCTCCACACTCATCTTTAGGTGCTTCTGATCACAATTTGATCTCTTTAAAACTATTATCTCATTCTTCTTCATCATCAAAATCCTCCTATTATCCTACCTCTTACAATAACCATAAAACTGACTAAGACTCTTTCCATTATTTTCTTTGTGATGCTGCTTGGGTAGAAATCTTTCAACTTTTGCTGACAGATAAGTACATCTTTGTAACTTATGTAACTTTTTGGATATAGGCTATCATGGAATCTTTTATTCCCTTTCGATGAGTCCAAGTCAAGCCTCACTCTTTCACATGGTTTTCTTCTCATTGTGCTGCTGCAACTTCCAATCATAACCATAACCTCCATATCTATCATTATAACAATTCTCCAAAAAAAAACATCTGTTTACTATTGCTAGAAACCATTGTAAAAATGTTTTGCCTAACACCAAAGCCTGCTACTCTCAGGTCACAGAATCTTGTATTTCAAAATTAAGCTCCCAAGACTTCTGGAGAATCTTAACAGTGTCCATAATAAGGGAAAATCTGTTATTCCACCTCTCTTTAGATTTTGTTACCTCACCTGAGAGTTTTATGACATCAAAATCATGACATGACATGCTAATCTGCTATTGTATGTACTAATGACATGTTAATGTGCTGAGTTGTTTTTTATTTAAAACAATATGTGTATAAATAAAACCAAGCATTAACTTTAATTTTAATAAACTTAAATATATTTTTTAAATCAAAATTAAATTACATATTTTTTAAATCGAAATTAAAATTACATATTTTTTCATCAGAATAAAATTATATATTTTTATTAAATAGTTTTAAATTAAATCATATAATTTTTCATCAGAATTAAATTATATTATTATGATCTTTGCTTCAAGCTTAAAGTATAAGTGTTTTTCAAGCAAAAAAATCAATCATTACAATAAAATTGAAACACTACATTTTTAATTTGATCTGAATTTTTTTAATTAGTAAATAGCGCTTATATCTAATATTTAATACTTTTACATAAATGTCATTGAAAAGTTAATGTGATTTCTTTCTGCTTTTTCATCTTTCTGCTTATTAAATAAATTAAAAGTTAAAAAATGATAAAAAGTCAATTAACTAAAATCGCCTACTGTTTACACAAAATCGCATAAGGCAAACGTAATATATATATGTGTATATATATATATATATATATATATATATATATATATTATATATATATATATATATATATATATATATATATATATATATATATATATATATATATATATATACTTACTAAAGCGTGTTTTGATAAGCATTTGCTCACTTTTTCTGCTTACCTTAAGCTATACCATTTTTTTCGAAAAAGAAGAAGAAAAAACGAAGAATGATGAATGAAATGATTGCTTCCCCATCCCAAAACCACAGTCAATGTAGCAGCACCCCACTGCGAGTCAGGCTATTTGTCAGTTGATGTATGTACTGAAGCCCCCAGCAGCAGGCTATTTCAGTATGACGTCAGATTGCTTACCTTAGTACGCAATACTATTTGTATATATATATATATATATATATATATATATATATATATATATATATATATATATATATATATATATATATATATATATATATATATATATATATATATATATATATATATATATATATATATATATATGAGGAGCACTGACTAAAATCAGAAACAAGACATAAGTTGAGTAAAAAAGGTGAATGATTAGGATTGTCTAGAAAGCGAGTTTCAAAATTGACAACTTGTGTTAGAGATTGAAAAGGCCAAAATTGTGTGTGTGTGTGTATATATATATATATATATATATATATATATATATATATATATATATATATATATATATATATATATATATATATATATATATATATATATATATATATATGTATATATATATATATATGTATATATATATATATATATATATATATATATATATATATATATATATATATATATATATATACCTATAGTTTAACGCCTAAATTTAAATTGTGGTATAAATATTTTTCAACTATTTTTATAAATTTTTTTGAATTTTTCTTTCTGAATAATTTAGTAACCAATTTTACAACTGTAAGTTGTTTTTGGTTATCAAAAAGTAGCAACATTTTTTCTGATTGAAATAAAATTTAAACCTTATAAATGATAAGTTTTTATTTTTTAGTATATTTACAATAAAATTAGTCAATTCTAAAAGGCAATGTCAATAAGACAGGAAACACGCATTAAGCTAATTGGACAGTTTAGTAATAATGTACAAACTAACCTTCAATGTGAAACAGAAACTTTGACTTATCTCATTTATAATATAAGAGATAAAAAATTATTAATTAGAGACACAACAATAGCAACAGGTACAGGAATTGTAAATATATTGGGAAAAAAAACATATCTTTCACATGTAGAAATCCCATGTAATCAACAAAAATAAAGGATTGTATACTGAACACTACAATTTATCAAGAAGCAAATCAAAAACTTAAGAAACTGATGAAATGATTGGAATCAGATAATTAATCTCATGTTTGACATTGCACTAGAGGAGGCGTTGAGCTTAATCAAAATTTAAGAAGATAAAAATTTCTTAATTGCACAACAGCAGAAGGATAGACAAGCTAAAATAGGTAAAGTTGATCTCGCTTTAAAAAAAGAAAGATCGGATCAAAAAACTGAGATTGAAATAGTTTGAAAAAGAGAAAAAGAATAAATAATCATTTATTCCAATAAACAGTGCTTTTAGCAATGAAGGAAGCATGGGATCTGACACATGGAAAGTGAAACATCTATGAGAAAATAAACCAGAAAAACTTATTTAGAAAATTAAGTAACTTTAGCAGGCCTTGTTTTAATGCGTCGAGCGATTTTTGCATGCCTTAGGCGATTTTACATAAGCAGTAGGCAATTTTGGTTAAGGAATTTTTTATCATTTTTTAACTTTTAAATAAGTCAATAAGCAATAAGATAAAAGAAGTAATTAAATTTATAAAAAGCCACTTTAACTTTTAAATGACGATTATATAAAAATATTTGTTACAAAAGTTTCGAAGACAATTATGTTCAATATAAGTGCTATTTATTAATTAAAAAAATTCAGATAAAATTAAAAATTTGTTTTTATTGTATTTTTATTTTATTGTAGTAATTAGTTTTTTCACTTGGAAAACACTAATACTTAAAGCTTGAAGCAAAGATCATAATAATATAACTTAACTCTAATAAAAAAATATATGATTTAATTTAAAACTATTTAATAAAAATATATAATTTAATTGTGATTTTAAAAATATATATGTATATATATATATATATATATATATATATATATATATATATATATATATATATATATATATATATATATATATATATATATACATATATATATATAGCAGCCGTGGCGCAGTGGTAGCGCACTTGCCTCAGAAACGTAAGATCCGTGGTTCAAACCCACCTCTGGGCAAGTTTTGCGACATCGGTTAGGAAGGAGGCGTGAACTTCCTATTTAATGCTCTTCCGCGGTGCTCTGTGATAAGACCGTAAGGACTTCTTGGGGCACCTAAATCAACATTAAAAAAAAAAAAAAAAAAAAATATATATATATATCATTTAATTTTGATTTAAAAAATATATATAAGTTTATTAAAATTAAAGTTAATGCTTGGATTTAACTTAACTGTCAAATTTATTTAAAAATATTACTAAATATTATTTTATTTGTTCTTAAAAAATATATATTCATTTTTATTGCAATTGTTTTTTCTGATTTCTTTACTAAACATTTTTTTATTACTTAAAATTAAATTTTAAATAAATGAATCAAAAATTTGCACAAAATGTAAGTTAAACTTTTTTTTTTACAACGCAAGTCAACGCACAGCGATTATCATAAATAGTATATACAGCAATATAATTTTAATAAATGATGTTTGGAAAAATATTCTTTGCTTCCGCAACAAAATTATTCATAAAATAATAAACTTTTTATAAATAATGTAAAAATATGTAATTTTTTTATTTGTTATTCATTAATTTTTTTTAAATAAAAAATCATTTGTAGTTGCAAAGCTGCAATTAAAAATTTAAGAATTCATTTAAAATTTTTAATCATTTAAAAATTTAAATTAATCATTTAAATAGTTTAAAAATTCAACATATTTTAATTCGTTTATACAAATGTTGAGAAAAGAAATAAATTTGTTAATATCAAACATTTTTAAAAATGTGATATTAAATTTAATTATTTATAATTAAAAAAAGTAAAAGAAAATAAACATTTCTTACTAGTAATAATAAAAAAGAAGTTAAATAAAACTCAACTTCTTTTGCGGTAATTATTATTATTGCAGTAATTTAAAAAAGTTAATGTCTTTAAAAAATAAAAAAATAGAGAATTTTAAAAATGTAAAATTCACATTAGGCTATTGCGTTAAGCATTTTATATTTCAAACAAGACCTGATTAGCTTTGGACTCTAGAAAAATGAGTAACTGAGTCAGCGACTGCAATACTCACTAATACAATCAAAAGATGCAAACCTTGCTGACTACAGCATAACTTTGTCTTCAGTTCAAAGAATTAGATCTGCAAATAGAAAATCCTTTGCCACAAATATCCTAAAAAATTTTGTTCCTACCAAAATGGAAACCATATATTGTTAAGGAAGTTAATCTCGTAGGACACACAAAAGTAGATTATCGGAATAAATTTTGGAAAACTACTGGGAGTGCCAGTAGTTTTCCAAAATTTCCATCAAATATACATGCACTTTGATAGCACGTTACTATGTTTGGCTATCATCATATTTACAAACTAATTCTAGAAATTGTGGCTGCAATGTATTTGAGATTGCAACAGGCACCAGAAATTTTGTTATCCAAACAATTTAAAACAGCATGGGAAAAAATGAAAAATTTTACTTCCAGATATTGAAATCTTGCAAAAGATGAGCACAAACAAATTATCTGTGTTTGTGAGAAATTAGCTCAATTTATGCAGTCCAATAGAAGACTATCAAGAGCTTCTCAACCTTGCATTGATTTTTATCACAGTACAACCACTAAAAAGCATAGCATTTCAAGCATGATGGATAGTAACGTTATTCTAGGCACTAAAACATATATATATATATATATATATATATATATATATATATATATATATATATATATATATATATATATATATAAATATATATATATAAATATATATATATATAAATATATATATATAAATATATATATATATATATATATATATATATATATATATATATATATATATATAAATATATATATATAAATATATATATATATATATATATATATATATATATAAATATATATATAAATATAAATATATATATATAAATAAATATATATATATATATATATATATATATATATATATATATATATATATATATATATATATATATATATATATATCTTTCGACTACACTATATCCTTATAGTGTAGTCAAAAGAGACTTTTATGGTAAAAAAAGTCTCTTTCAACTACAATTTTTATTACCTCGTCTCTTAAGCTGTATTTGATTGCCATCGAAATGTCAAAGCAATGTATTTGATTGCCATCGAAATGTCAAAGCAATTAAATTAATGCGGAAGTACATTAAATTTTATTGTTTTTTAAAAAAACCGCAATAATAATGACTAGAAAGTTTTTTTAATTAGTGGTGTTTTTGCTTTTGTTTTATTAAAAAATATTTTTAAAACATGCGTAAGTGTTGCTACATCGACTATCTTATAGCCTGCTGCTACAAGGGAGTTTTGCTACATCAACTATCTTATAGCCTGACTCGCAATGGAGTACTGCTACATTGACTGACAAATAGCCTGACTCGCAAGGGGGTGTTGCTACATCGACTGACAAATAGCCTGACTTGAAAGGGAGTGCTGCTACATCGACTGAGGATTTGGTTTGGGCAGGCAGTCTATCATTTGAAAAAAAAAATTTTTTTTTGAAGTTTTTTAACATTTTCTGGTCAGGCTTATTAACGGGCTCTTTAAAACAACAGTTTATGGGAAAAACTTTTTGACTACAATGCAAGACTATATATATATATATATATATATATATATATATATATATATATATATATATATATATATATATATATATATATATATATATATATATATATATATATATATATATATATATATATATATATATATATATATATATATATATATATATATATATATATATATATATATATATATATATATATATATATATATATATATATATATATATATATATATATATATATATATATATATATATATATATATATATATATATATATATATATATATATATATATATATATATATATATATATATATATATATATATATATATATATATATATATATATATATATATATATATATATATATATATATATATATATATATATATATATATATATATATATATATATATCTATATATATATATATATATATATATATCTATCTATATATATATATATATATATATATATATATATATATATATATATATATATATATATATATATATATATATATATATATATATATATATATATATATATAGATATATATATATATATATATATATATATATATATATATATATATTTATAGATATATATATATATATATATATATATATATATATATATATATATATATATATATATATATATATATATATATATATATTCAAAAATATATATATTCAAAAATAGATATCATTTACAATATAATATAAATTTTACAATAATATTTTTGTGAAGGAACAATGCAAATAGTACAGGATTAATTCAAAGCAGAGACCTTATAAAACAAAACAAAACGAAACAAAACAAAAAGACCTTGTAAATAAAAAATTAAAAAAAAAAAATAATAATAATAATTAGGTTTGGTGTAACAAAAGCCTTTAATGTTAAAATACTACCAGCCTAAACCCAAACCCTCTATCAAAGAACTGAAGCACTAAATCTCTTTGTACTTATATGTAAATATATTTTTTATTTTCGGTTTTTCTTCTTTTATTATATTTATATTAAAAATTAGAAAAACACTAAAATTTGCATAAAGCAATCCAAAAATATTTTTTGATACCAAACCTGAACTTTGTTAAAACACAAAACTTGACACAAATAGAGAATAAGAATAAGAAGAATAAAAGAAACTTTATAATGTAGCTAAAATAAAGAAACCTTATAAAGTAGTTATAATAAAATGTTGAATATCAAAGTTTTAAATGTAAATCAGAAAAATTCATTTTTACATAAAACTTACAAATTTTTTTTAATTATACGTTATATTTATAACATAGCATCTATGTTGGGTGTATACACTTTTACCCAACATAGATGCTATTATATAACATATAGAATAATATAACCTCATTATCTTATATGCTAGTTTAAAACTTTAATATAACTAATTAAGGAATGTAAGTAATTAGTATAGTTCACATAGAATCTTGTATTTTACAAAAATGAAAATGAAAATTATTAATCAAGTGTTTTTTTTTTAATACTTATAACAAGTGAAAATAAAAAGCAATAAAAGAGAGAAAGATAACAAAAAAGATATAATTAATATATAATAAAGGTAAATAAACTTACATAATAACTTTAGATAACAAAGCAGAAACCATTGTCTCTATGCTATTATGTGAAAGATATGTATATATAAAATAGATAAACATTAAAGAAATAAAAACTGCTGTTTTAATCTTTAATTTCAAAATATGACAAGTACAAATTATATTAAAATTAATAAAATTTAAATCATACAAAAAGTAAACAAAACAATAATCAAAACTTGAAAATTAAAAAGCGCTTTAAAATAAAATCACTCTCCGTCGTAAGATTAAAAATCATTTAACTAAAATGAGTCAATAGTTATTATGTTCAGGAAATTGAGAATGTTATTAGTATTGAATAACATCGTTAAAGATGTATGAAGAGCTCTTATGAAAAAGACAGTGACTCACCGAGTTCTTTATACGACCCCAATAAAAATTCATTAGATTGCTTGGCTTTTAAATAAATAAAAATTAACTTGCTATTTTCTATTAGTTTCCGATAAACGGATCTCAATATTTTTTTGCGTAAAAAACATCGCTTTTATTTTTTTTGCGTAAAAAATAAAAGCAACGTTTCCAAGTAAAGCTGTATTAAAATTAAAAAAGTTTTAAAACAAAATAATTTGTACTTACATTCGTAACAACTTACACTAAGGAGCAATCAAAACTTGCAGTAGAACAATTCATAAAAGACAAAAATATCACTCAGTCAAGCTTCAGAGGCACACAACATACCAAAGACAACTCTTTGAAAGCGTGTGAAAAACAAAGTCCAATAACATGGTAGAGGTAAAATTACCGTGCTAAGTACAGCGTATGAATTTGTTCTTGTTTCAGTACATATTAGTTTAGCTGATTGAGGAATCAACAGAACGTTTGCAGATGTCTTCGCAATAGTTGGGGATAATTTGGTATCAACAAATCAAAGTTATCGGTTTCCACCAAACGGTATACCTGGACGAGAATGGTATCAAGAGTTCACCAAAAAATTCCCTTTAACATTTTTAAGTTTTGTTACGTAACGAAACCAGGTTATAATACGTGCAAAATGTCCGTTAATAATACGTGTCAAGACGTAATATTTTTACGTAAGACGTAATGGTTACTTAACCTTGCGATACATAAAATGTTAACGTGTGGTACCTTAATATTTTATAATTTTTTTGTTTTTTATATCTATAAGTATCCTCCTATATAAGTATATGAAAATATATATAAGTATATGTAAACACATATAAGCATATTTTAATATAAATATACATTTGAAGTGGAGTGTAATGGTAAATAAATATAACAACAATAAAAAAATATATATATTAACGCTTTAACCGCGGCAATCCACGATCGTGGCTTTTAAAACTGATCTTTAAAATTACGACCTTTATTGCAAAAAATTATTGCTTTTCTAAATATCATTCTTTATTTATACAATGAGGGCTTAAATTTTTTTTTTTTTTATATTATTTAAAATATAACGATATTTAATTTCCGATATTATTAAGTTTCGGAATATGAATTAAGTACCGGTTTACTTAAATTTTTCCCCCTATTTATAATTTTTATTTAATTTTTTAATAGAAAGGCTAAATTTTTGATAACACTTTTGACTGTAATGTAATTCTTGAACGTTAGCCTTGCAATTTTTTTAAATAACAGGAATCATTCTCTTTGAACTCTGCGAATAATTCCACGCAAACTTCTAAACTGAATAAAGCCTAAAAAAAACAGGTTGTCCAAAGGGTTGAGCAAACGAAGAAATGTTGCAGACCAGAAATATTGCTGTTTGTAGTTACTGAGACTAAACTAAACAAAAAAAGAAATAGAACTAGATTTACTAAATTAAACAACAAAGCTATAACAAGTGAAAAAAATATTTGTCAAGAATTTAACAAATATTTTGTTAATGTGGGCGCCTCTCTTGCATCTAACATTGTTCAGTTAACTAAAGTGTTTGATGAATACTTGGGAGAGAAAACTGCGACTAGCATATCTAATGAAAAAATAAAAATAAATACGAATTTAACAATGCGCTATTTGAACTAAAGCTTAACAAGTCATGTGGATATGACGACATTACCAGTAATGTAGCTATCTATGTCATGGATAGAGTAAGTAAACCATTATTTTATTTAATAGTATTTTCATTTGAGAATATTATATTTCCTGATAAATTAAAATCAGCCAAAACTCATCCAGTTTTTAAAAATGGTGATTGTTCTTTTGTTTGCAACTACCGTCCTATATCACTACTCCCTGTATTTTCAAAAATATTTAAAAAGGGTAATTTTTAATAGAATTTATGATTATATGACATTAAATACACTTTTATACAAAAATCAATTTGGATTTCAGAGATATTGCTCAACTGAACATGCTATTATTGAACTTTCCAATAAAATATCAATGTCCTTTGATAAAGGGGAACAAGTACAGGGAGTATTTATCGATCTCTCTAAGGCATTTGATACTGTTGATCATGGAATTTTACTTTCAAAGCTAAAGCATTACGGCATTAAAGGCCTAACATATAAGTGGGTTAAGAGTTATCTTTTTAATAGAAAACAGTTTGTTGTCCTGGAGAAGTCAGGAACTCTTGATATTGTTTGCGGAGTCCCACAGGGATCAATTTTAGGACCTTTATTATTTTTAATATATATCAATATATATTAAAAATATATGTGTTTAAAATAGTGTTTAAAAATATATGTGTTTAAAAATATATGTGATTAAAATAGTGTTTTCTGATATTTTTAAATCAGCATTTTCACAAAAATACAATCTTCGTTCAAATAACAACCATATATGGTTGTTATTATGCTCAAGTGATAGTTATGCATAACTATCACTTGAGCATAATAAAATCGCAAGTGTCGAAATTCTCAATTATAAGCGAAGGTCCGTCATTATAGAATCAATTAAAAAATAACAATATAAAAAATTTGAAAAGCACTATCTCTTTTAAACGACAAATGAAACTGCATCTCCTAAATTTCTGACATATATGTAAGAATGTTTGTATATGTGTGTGTTTTTATGGGTATATGTATATATGTGTATATATGTATATAAGTTTTTCTGTACTCTTCACGTAGTATTTAACAGATAAAATATTTGTTGTAAATTTTCTAAAGCTAAGAGGGCTTTAAATGATATTGTAAAGGAGCTCTATGAAAAGATTGTGGTGACATCAGTCATCCTTATCTTCTTTGAGCCCCTGTCTGCTTTATATATATTCTTTGTGTAATGTAAAAGTTTCATTGTAATTTTATTATTTTATTTTTATATAAACAGCAAAAGATATAAAAAAAAAAAAAAAAAAAAAAAGAAAAAAAAATTATTTATTGTGATTCATTCTGTAAAAAAGTGCACACGTACTTCATGTAAGCCCCCCAAAAAAAAGTTTTTTTACGTTGGGGGGCTTCAATGAAAAAAATTTGAGACAATTTAAATACTTCACAATTACACGTAACATTATGTTCCAATTAATTTTTTTAAAGTTTAAAAAATGTACTCTTGAGTCCTTAATACAAGATGGGGGGGGGTAAGGAGTTTATTAATTTTTGGAAAATTTAAGCTTCACCCACCTTAAGCTTCTTAAGAACCCCCCCCCCCCTCCTTCTTACACGCACACACGCACGTTTATTAATTTTTACTTGCTATCAACAGAAAAATTAAATTTCAAGACTAAAAAAGAAATTTCTGTATATCTCGATCTTAAAAAATTAGAAAATCATTATTTTAGTCACCAAAAAAATTTCAGTGTAAACAGGCTTATCGACATAGTAATTTTCTCACCAAAGTATAAAACTTATATCAGCGTAATAAATCCTTGAAATTATGAAAAGACAGCTGTTAGAAAATGCGCATTTGACCACAAGCAAAGCTAGATTTAAATAATTTTAAAACTTTTTTTTATATTTAAATAATTTGTTTATTTAAATTGATTTATATTTGTTATTTTGATTAAAATAATTTTAAAACATTCAAATATTAGTCCGATCTATAAAAAAAAGGGAGACAAACTACTTCCTGAAAACAATCGCCCTATTTCACTTACCTCTGTTGCGTGCAAAATATTTGAAAAAGTTGTAAAGAATAAAATTTTGAAGCATATCAATGATAACAATCTGCTCTCTACAAATCAACATAGCTTTCTTCATCATAAGTCTTTTATAACCAATCTAATAGAGACTTTTGATATTATTTCGTCTTCCCTAGCATCGCATCAGTTTATAGATGTAATCTACCTCGACTTTGCTAAAGCTTTTGATTCCGTACCTCACACCAGACTCATGTTAAAATTAAAATCATTTGGAATAAACGGCAAACTACTACAATGGATTAATTCCTTCTTAATAGGCAGAAAGCAACGCGTTACAATTAACAATACTAGCTCTGACTGGGTTGATGTTCTTAGTGGTGTTCCTCAAGGTTCTGTTCTCGGCCCGCTCCTCTTTATTCTTTTTACAAACGATCTTGCCCAACTTACAGAAACTTCTGAAGTATTTGCAGGCGATACTAAACTTTTTTCCAAAACTTCATCGCAGACTAATTTCGTTGATCTGCAGGACCGTCTACGCTTAATATACGAGTGGTCAAACACTTGGTTACTTAAATTAAACATTTCAAAATGCTGTGTTATTCATTATGGTAAAACCAATCCTATGTATAGCTACTTTTTGCAAAATAACCAAGGTATAAATGAAAGCCTAAGAAGCTCTATTAAAGAGCGCGATTTAGGAGTCATTTTTACATCTAACCTCAAGTGGAATACACATATTCAATCAGTTGTCTCCAAATTTTTACAAATTCTTGGTATGCTAAAAAGTACATTCACCATCATTGATGAAAAAATGGCTCTCAAATTGTATAAAGTGTTTATAAGACTACACCTTGAATAGCAGTGTCTGTTTGGGCCCCGTATTTAAAAACTGACGTAGCTTTGGTTGAATCTGTTCAACGTAAAGCAATAAAATGGGCTTTAAACTTGAGAAATCTTCAATACTATAAAAGACTTAAAAGAATAAATTTACCATCACTCGAGTTTCGGCGCCTACGATGCGATCTAATACAAATTTTTAAACTAAGATATCGATTTGAATTGATAAATTATAAAATATCGATAAAGAATTGTTACCTTATATTGTCTGTGATATAACTAATAAAGACTGTATGATGAGGAAATGTGAAAAATGCCTGCATTGGTTGAAAAAAATTTATGATATACTTGGAGAATTTGAAGATGATGATGAGATTGAATTTGATCAATGGACATCAACAGATAGGTCAAACTTGACACATAATAAAGAGCCAGTGTTTCAATACATTGAACTAGTTTGTAGAAAACTGGAAAAACTTGCACCACATTCGTATTTAGCAAAGTGTCAAGCATTATACCTGAGATCAAAAAAGGAAGATATGAATGAGGTAACAGCATTATTTCTGGGTGATTTTTCAGAAAACTATAAATTTGTAGTTCAGGATGAAGTGCAAAGCTTTCATTGGACAAATTTACTATGTACACTTCATCCAGTGATTATTTATTTCAAAAATAAAAAGGCATTCTCAAGCACAGTTCCTATTGTATTATTTCGGATGATATGATCCATAATGTGAACATGGTTTATAAAATTATTGAGGTTGTTTGCAATGATATAAAAACAAATTTGCCTCAAATAAAAAATATTGAATACTTTTCAGAT